AACTTTCATTGAATTCTGATGGCTAATTGCGAAAGGGTGGAGCCTGCTTAACCATCTAATCTGAGAGCAGGTTTAGTGTGAAGTAACAATTATTCGAATCTGTTTATAGAAAAGTATCTCTAATATTTCAGCAACTTCCTCAGTCCGCAAACCTATCGACAGAAAATGCACCCGAACCCTTGTTCGATTTAGACCTTGACCGGAAGTATATGTGTCCTGTATGCCTTTGTGTCCTGAAAGATCCTATGCAGACCTCTTGCGGACACCGCTTTTGTAAGGCGTGCATAACGGGAACATTCGCCCTGCCGACGTAAGTATGTAATTACAAGCTGTCAATTACTAAGATAGAATATTACCAAAAATCAACTAAAATACTGATTACTTCATGCGTGGAAATGTATCCGATAATCCACAATTAAGAATAAAATATCACATGATCGCATGCATGACCTTAACGGTGACAATTAGTAAACCAGATTATGATCACATACATTTGACCGATGAAGATAATGGTACTAAAGACATCGAAACGTCACCTAAACGTTCACACGTACATGCAATCAGTTCACTGATTGTGCTATATGATGATCGCCTGCACAGGTGATGGTACAATGTACTTAGAGCGAATAATTAGATAACTCAATACGCGACCTTTTGATCGCTTGTCCGAGATGGCCTTACGTGTATAATATATGTTACTCTTAAATGTTTAATAAATTGCATGACTGTTCTACGTTCAAAATGAGCATCACATCGCCATTGTATTGGGTCATTGGAAATATTCTATTTGGAATCGAAATCGCCAATTTGACGTAAGATGGAAAGTTGGATTTTCAGATCAAAATTAAAAAGGCTTCTTTGTAGAAGCAGTTGGGCACATGTAAGGAAACTATTGCTAAATATTGTTTTACTGGAGCGTTTATAGTCTGAGACTGTTTTTCGCGTTTCTGTGAGAGCTATCTAGGACTTCATGTTTGGATAGTGCAAGCGATAATTAGCCTTTGGTATTTTTGTTTGATTTCTGTATACGCGTGCCACACATGAGTGTATATCCGCGTATTTATTTTCAACACTTGGAGATAATGTGTTTACTGTTATTTTCTATTTGTCTATCACTTTGTCATTTTAGAGTCCGAAACAACACCCGGGTACCGTATTCCAGGTGTCCTGTGGATAACACGTACTTCCACATCGAGAAAGAGGTAAGCATAAATGTCGTAAAAACTACTATGTTGTTCTGGTGTTGTTAAAACTACTTGTAATAGACCGATCTTTTGGTGTGGCCGTTGACATGATCCAGCTACGCACTATTCTTGTTCAGAACAAAGATATGTGTCTGTAATGAAGTTTGACGTAGGATATTATAATTTCTACAATACAAGCATTGCAATGCACTATACAGGCTAATTCTAATGAACTGACGGTTCCCGTCCGTCCGGAAGTCTGTCTTCACCATGTATATTGTTCAGAAGAATTACCAGTTTCCAAGTTACTACATGTTCCGTATACATTGTAAGTCCGAAGTGATGCCTGTCTCCTTTGCCCAATGACTATTTTTTTACAGGCAATGGGTATATCGGACTAAGTCAGTATCAACTAAACTTGGCTTATATACTGTATGCTACTATATGTTTTCAAACTATATTTTTAGTATTACGTATAGTGATCTTAGTCAGGGCCGAGACTAGTGACTTTTTCCAGCTTTGTCAAAAATATGACCTCATGTTAATGACTAAACGTTTCTTTTCTGTTGTCAGTTATTTCCCGACAATGCCATCAAGCGGGAAGTTCTGTCATTAAATGTCCGGTGTCAAAACGTCCTAAATGAATGTGATTGGAGCGGAGAACTCCGGAACTACAGCGAGGTGAGTGGACAGTGAGGGTTCTGGTCATTTAGCTATAGTGAATATTTTTCTATATTTATTTTTAGGGAAAATGATTTCATGAGACCGAGATTTCTTAAAGTTCACAATTATCTCGAACGCTGATGTGTAATTAGTCGGTCATGTAGATTATTGATTTACATAACAGTCATCTTGGAAATCCAAGGATTCCTCTGCGGAGTATAAAAATTTAAAGCAGAGCCCTGGATTTCTAGGATGAATACATGGGCGTTACTATTTGTTATATTACTTTACATGGGTGGATTTGGTCGAGTGGTTAACACTTCGGCCTTCCATGCAGACGGCCGGG